AGCTGCAGGAACAGGATCGAAAGACCCACAGCTCCTTGCCCCAGCTGGTCTGCAGGGACCTGCCACTGCCAGGAAGGACATCCTAGGACAACAAAGGCAGTTGCCCTTGGGGAACACCTTTCTGCAGATCCCAGTCCCGGAGTAGATCCCCTGGGCAAGACAGATTGTTTCCTTCCTCCCATCTGCTTCATCTCTTCTGCCTCCCTCACTCCCGAACCTTCCCTCCGGCTCCCCATGGGGAACTCTGGCACTCACCCACACTGTCAGACCACATCCTTTCTCTGTGCCCCCTCCCCAGGTCCAAATACTGGTACCCACCAGCTATTCCCCTTTCTCGCAGGGATGAAAGCAGCTCACGGAGGAGCACTGTGGGTAAATGACTGCACAAGGCAACACGGTACTGAGCACCCCACACTCCCTGCAAGGCTCCCCAGAGCCCAGTCATGTATGGGGATAAGGGAACAGGCAAGCTGCGGCTGCAGAACTGTACAGGGAGCAGAGAGCAGCACGCAGCTCTGGAGATGGGCATGTCAGAGCATGGATGGCCTGGATGTAGACTGGATCTCCTCTTTCCAGCACCTGGAGAAGCTGGTGGGATGCATTGACCTCTCAGGGACGCATGTCCAGCAAATCTTGGCTGCTATGGGTCAGCCCAGCAGATATGGGGATGAGGCAGTGAGGCAGGGATGCATCAGACACAGAAGAGGATGAGAAGGAAGCAATGCTCAGTTCCACGCCAGACCCAGGCCCTGAATGGAGCTAAAACCACCCTGGGAAACAAAATGTGCTCATGCTCCAGGATGTTGGATCAGGTTGGAGTGAGATCTCAGACCAAATTTGCAGCTGAGCAAAGAAGAGGTACCTCCTATCCACACAAAGAGGTGACTGGCCATGCTGCAGCTGGAATTACAGTTACCATGTCAATCCAGACAGACCTCTATCACAAACTCCCCAGTCCTGCAGAGCTGCAGGGCTGAAGATAGATTTGTCACACGAATTCTACTCCAGGCTCTTGTATCAGAGGATTTTCTGAGTACCACAAAAGCTGTCAGTGAGAGGACAAAACCAGCCCTCACACCCTGCACAAGGGGCTGCTCAGTAATTATATCCGGCAAGAGCTCTCCACTCCAGCCCTGAGATGCGGGGGAAAAACTCCGAGCACAAAAGCCCTGAGATAGGAGGAGAAAACTCCAAGCACAAAAGCACAGCATCACGGCCGTGAGGCACACAGCCAGCATCCACAGCGTCTTAACCTACTTTGGGTTCGCTGCTGCACGGCTGCTCGTGGGGGCCAAAGGAGGGGCTGCATCCGTGTTAGGCACCATCTGGCAGCTCCCTCTCAGGGCACTCCAGCTACTGAGGGCAGGGGGAAAACCAGGACCTGCCATCCCCATCCCTGTCCCCATCACCATCCCAAAAACCATGGCAAGATGAACACAGGAGCCACAGGCGCTACAGTCTCATGCACACACCTGGGAGGGAACATTGGTGGGGGGAGGAGTGGGAGAGGGAATGTATCAGAGCAGCCCAGGATACCACAGCCCCACTCCACCATCAGGTTTGAGCTGGAGGGAGCTGGAGGCTGTGGGGACCGACAGCTGAGCTGTTGGGGTGTGGGACCACCAGAGGACAGTTGCGTCAATGCGGGGAGTGAAAGGCAGTGACAATGATCTGGCCTTGATGTGGGAACATGATGGACAGTCATTAGCATCATGCATGGCACCTGATTGATAACCAGGGATGTGATGGACAGTCAGTGATGAGCCCATGTGAATGTCCAGGGGCAGGGATCCACAACTGTCAGTGGACAAAAGGACAGCCCTCGGCAGGTGGCCTTGTCTGCAGCCAGCACCAGGAGGTGTCCCACTTGGGTGTTGGTGGAAAGCGTGATCATGTCTGCAGGTCCTGAGATCCTGAGCCCCTTCCCCTGCATGGAACCCACACAAATGGGGTACTTTGGCTGAGACAGCAGGAGGTCACCAGGCATAGTCTTCCCTCACTCAAAGGCCTGCTCCTGCGCCATTTATTCCAGATGATGGGCAATGCTCTGCCATTCCTGCCTGCAGTCTGACACAACAGCCCATCAGGCAGCCAGTTTTTATCCCATTTCATGCTGATTTTGGTATCATCCTTCCCTCCTGAAACAGCTGCTGTGAGGTGAGCCGATGCCTCTCCGAACCCTCCCTGCAGTGCATCAACACTATTATCTCCATCAGCCAAACTTGTAATCTCCTGAAAAAAGATATCTCGCTATTTTGACAAGTTCTCTTTTCCATCACCCCCTGCTGACTGGCAGGAACA